CTGTAACTTAATTACAGTTTACAGTTCGTTTATAGTCGTTAATACATACAATTTGAATATAATCACCATTAAACATTTATTTACAATTTTCTCAACCAAATTGAGAAGATGGAGACTTAGTTTTCTCAAAATTTGTAATAACCGAATTTTGAAAATTATTAGGTATAAACAAATTCGTAAAAGTTAAGGTCTGCGTAAAAAATCACAGAGTATTTGTTCTCAGAAATTGCCGAGAAAGGAAAAAGCTGAACCTATGTTCGCTCAGCTAATTCTAATTCCTCTCGTCAGACCGCGAATAGCAGCATTTCTAGGGGAACGAAACCGCAAGCTCGGAGAAATCTACTTCTGTTACCACGTTCCACCTTCACCGCAAAAGCAATAAAAGTTTGTAAGCTGAGAATCATCGAGAATAGTGCAATTATGTTATATATCATACAAAATGTCTGAAAATAGGGCGCTAAAATGCCTACTTTGGTCCAAGTAATACATTGTGTATCACGTGACCGTAATTGTTAATGGTACAAAAGCGAAATTACAATCAATTCGAAGATGAAAGTCACAACTAACAATTTAAATGTAGAATTCTCTACATTCTAAGAATGATAACATTAAAATTTTGTTTTAAAATGTAATATTCTTAATTGCTCGTTCCACCCTCTGTAATTAATTTCTAAATGTCGAAGAATTCATGCTACATCTGATGTATAATTATTTTTGAAAGATTTAAAATTCATTTGTTTCAGTGCAAATGTGTACTATTATAAAGAAAATTAAAATATTAAAATATGTACAGGATAAGATTGAAAGTGTTTGTGAACCAAATTAAATCGACCACGAACAACTGAATAGTGTCCACAAAAAAAAAGTATTTTATACCGAATTTCAACCCTCTGCCTTGACCTGGAGGATAACTGAAACGAAAATTCAATTTATAATACTTCCTTCTATCTTCTTATTCATTTGCATGTAGAAATTAAAAAAAATATTAATAAATTGTAGATACTAAACCACATACATATTAATATATTAGAATTTAAAAAACATTTCAATCCAGCAAACACTAAAGTAAACATAAAACTTCGTTCTTGATACAACAGATTCAAAAACTAATTCACAAAATTGATTTACTACGAAAAAACTTAATCAACACCCACCATTGCCATTGAAAAGCTCACCATTACTAAGATTACCTCACATATAGCTTCCCGTTCTCTATACTTTTCTTTCGTACTAACAATTCAAATTCAATTCTTCCCTCATTCTCTACCGTTTAAACTAATTATACATCGTAACTCTCATAGAAGCATAAGGTAACACAATAAAAAATAGGATACGAGAAAAGTCTTAAGAGGATAACGGATATATTACTGCGTCTTTTACTAATGGAGTTAAAACGCGAGAGGGGCTCAAAGGAGTTTCCCACCGCCTGAGTTCGTTACGGCGCGGGCTAAACCGTCACACGGGAAAAATTGTTCCGTCTGAGAATCAGATTTACTGAGGGCCGCGGGATCAAAGTGCCGGGGATCTGCTTTTGTCGTATGCCAGCCACAAAATTCTCCCCAACCGGACTTTTATCGAATTTCACCGGTGACGTTGCCGGCCTTCCGCCGCGGAAGTTCCCTTATCCGCGGCGGAAACGAGACTTCTTTACGGCGCGCACCGTGCGCCCTGATTCCGAGGATCTGGCCCTCGCGGACGATCCACATTGTCACTGGTGCACGTATACTAGGGAGCTCAGGAGATGGCAATCGGCTGTTATTGCCTCTAATCCGTTGGAACGACCTCCATCAACAGACACGTAAAAGGAAAAGCACACGCATTTCTTGGATTGGCGAGAGTCAGACCAATTATATTATAGTAGGCCTCTTTTGGCCGACTACCCACAATCCCAAGGTACATAGAGCGAAGGGGAAACGATCATTCGCGATGCTCAGATTTTGTGATTGGCTGAATCATCTGACAAAGAAGGCAAACGAAACAGAATGTGATGAAATGAGACATAAAATATTAACGCCCATTTGCATTCTTTACCGTTATGTCTCATTTTGTCACATTTTGTTTCTTTGCGCTCTTTTATTATGCGACTGGGCCGATAACAAGAATCTGTTAACAAATAATTAATTAATTATTTTAGCCGAATTTTAGGTAATTTTAGCCGAAGATAATTCCCTTAAATTTCATTGTTCATACTTTACTTACATAGTACATGTTGAAATGATTAAAACCATTTAATCTAATAGATACGATCTAAAACACTTTTATAAAGACCTATATTACCTTCAGATAAAAATCAATAGAGCGAAATATAACTTAATTCATGAACAGTCGGGGTCGTGGAAATACGAGTTAGTTTGGTCAGTAGCATAAGTTCGTGCCGTTTATTTTTCTATCATATATATAAAATAATATTGTATTAAATACAAAATTTTATAACTTTACAACCTGTCGTTCTCGAATACCTTCTACTGACTAAACTGAAGCATAAAGGTTTAGTCACCCAAGTCCTCGTATTGCTCTGTGATTACAAAATGTAACGCGAGAAGGAAAAACACATCGTGACATTAACTTATGGGATGACTTAATGGTTATAATATCAGTGATGCTTTGGTTTTAATAGATTCTTGTTATTGGTCCAATCGCGTGACAAAAACCTTAAGCAAAGCAAAATGAAATAAAGTGAGATATAACAGTAGAGAATACAAATGGACGTTAATATCTTATGTCTCATTTCATCGCGTTCTGTTTCGTTTTAATTCTTGTATTGGCCAATTACTCACTATTTAAAAGTCCACAGGAGTAAGAGGAATCGTTCACTTGCTTTAATGTTTAATTGCTCGGCTTTCATCTGTTTTCGTTTCATTTTTAATACTAATTTGTCAGTCCTGTTACGGTTACACGTAACCAATTAAAACTAAGAATAAAACACATAGTGAGATATCCATCTTGTCCTGGTGTCGATTCTTGAGTAACGCAGAGTATTGAGCAAAGATGTGAGCAGCCTGCTGTACGTGTAATGGCAATATGATGTTTTAAGGGATATAGGTCAGCGATTCGTCAGGTCATCCGTGTGAAGGCTTCGACCTTCTACACTATATCCGCGGTTAACCCGAATTTTTCTAAGTTTCACGCTCGTCGTCGACCAATGAAATCTTGTTGAGAATAAAAAGCTTATTTTCACAATATTTCAAATCTTTTCTTCTCTAAAATAGGAGATTATGGATTATGGATTGGAAATTATGTATGATTACAATCATTGCTGTTCATGGATAATATACAGACTGGTTGTATAGTATTGATTCTCGTATGTGACTACAAATTACAAATGCAAACAATGAACTACATTTACAATTTTGTTTATTATGGGAGAATTCTTTGAAGATGCGTTTACCTAATTTCCTAAGTTGGAAAGTGAATGTGTCTTCTATTTTCTTATGGTTAGGGAAAACGTGATATACAATAAATCGAATTGTTGGTCAATGAAATTGTAACCTTCGAAGAGAATTTTATAATTTGAATAGTACACTTGAAATTCGTAATGTAAGTTCTTACAGTACTTGAAATAGTGGAAAGTAATGTAGGATGTACAGAGTGAAATGTAAGAAAAATGTGATATTTATAAGTTAGTCTTTACGTAATTTCATTGCCCGTGAGCTGCTTCATTTCCCTTTTTCTCGTATCGATTCGTTCTTTTTCCTCTCGACGTCGAAGAATGACGAAGGTTATACTCCCTGATAAGGGAATTAATTTACATAACATCGACCTTCACGTTTCCAAGATACAAGTTCGTTTCTGCGTGAAGGAATTTCATGTAATCTTCGCGTGCATTGTAATTTCCTATTTCGTTCCATAAATTCCATTCTACTTTCCATTGAAACACACCTTAAGAGGATTTCATGCTTGCAATTTAAAGGTTCGAAGATTGTTCGGTTGATTCTCAAGTGTGCACGGAAAAATGCAAAACGAATAAGAATTTAACAACCGTGTGTATCGTTAAGATTAAATAATCGACGAATAAATTACTAATCTTGTGTATTTATAATTGAACGAAATTATTTTTTTTATTTAATCGCTGGTATAATTCTATTTTTCGTTCAATATTTCAATATTAGGATATCAATTAGCATTACACGCTGCCAGATTTCATCGCGGATGAAACCCAATAAAAATTATGTCCTTATTATTGTTAGGACATCTGAACCGAAAACTCGGTCGAATATCTGAAAAAAAGTGTCGCCCGTTATTCGCTGAATTTCCAATCAATCATACTGTATCGACGGCACGATATCGGTTTAACGCACGGTTAAAAATCGTTACCGATTACATGAACTAGTTTGCATAATACGATGCGCCGTCCCGATGGCGACAGTTCCGAATAAATTTATAAATCAATTATGCAAAACAAAGGAAAGTAACAAAGTTTATCTGCCAGGATGAATGATCGAGCATAAATATTTCTTTCGGTAACATTCATATATTCATATATTTTTTAAGGAAACCTTTTAATAGACCCATTGATTTCCAATATTTATTGGTTTCCAAAATGTTTTATTCTCGAATCGAAATCACGTAAACGGTATTCAACACTGAATTCAGAATGAAATAAATTAACTCTTAATTATTACAATAAAGCTCAAGTTTAATGTAAATTATGAATTTTGCAAACTCAACTCTAAATTGCTGTGAAAATAAATAGTTCAGCAATTAATCTGTTAAATAATTCATTCTCAATTTAATGCTCGCATTCGATGATTGTAAATAAATAATCATCATGAATTCTAATTAGAAATCGTAGAAAATTCTAACTCTATGCCAATGAAATCTAAATTTCAAAAATATTTTCTCTGTCGCTGTCTGCCTCTATTTATCTTTGTCTCTCTCTCTCTCCCTCTCTCTCTTTCTCTCTATCTATCTATCTCGCTATATATTCTGCATCTCTCGCTTTTCTCTCTGACGCGCGAATATCCAATCGTAAATTACATATTGCTCATGTTTCTTTTCAGAATCGAGTTATGTAAATTCTGCAACATACATATCGGCGATTAGAACGTCACTGTTAAATACTCGGTGTGAGTATACACCAGCTCGGTGTGAGTATCACATTTGTGAGTTCGTTTTGTCTCGTCCATTGGATATGTACGTGTGAGCTTTACGTGCGTCGCTGAACGAAAAAATAATAAAAACAGGAACAGCGTCGCGTCCCAAGCTCAATTTCGCGGATGATGTCGAGCAGAGGATTTTTGGTACTACGTGTGGACCATTTTTTTTGTTCCTTCGCAAATCGTTTACTCGAATGTTTTGTAATCTATTTGATACGTGAATGGATGGAGTGTTTTACGAGCACGCGCAAGTTCGGATACTTGTTTATTATACTTTTGTGAAATGTACATCGACTTTGGATCTCTTTTAACGTTTTTTTTTAAGCGCTTCACTTTTGTTTCACACAAACAGAACTGTTAATCGTTTATTTTCATCGCGAATAGACTACGGACATGAATGGACGTTCACATTTCTTTAAACTTATTTTAATACCATCAATATTAGAACCTCGTTCATTCTGTTAAATATCGATTTTTTAAAGACATATTCAATCGTTTTTTAAAGTAGCCTTATAATCGATTATTTTTCATTGTTAAGGTGTTGGCAGCAAGCAGTTGCGGTCAAAGTGATTACGTCCAAGTGTTTGGTGTGGAGGATACATTAAATGTTAAAAATTGCTTCTTGAAAGTATTATTTAATGTTATTAATAATCTTATTTTCATACATTTTGTACATTCAAACATGATATTAACGTATAAAATCCGTGAACGTATGTAGATACTTTTATTTTTTAATTTGCTGGCAAGTAAAGCACTAAAGAACTGCAAAACTTTTCGTATATAAAATGTTCCTAAACTTGCTGTATTCGTAGGACCTTTTTTATACTTGGTATTAATAGAATGCATTTTGAAAGTTTTATTACCTATTTTAAAGATACCGCATATAAGACTTTAATACGTTCAGGGTTACATGAGAACTTTATCGTAAATTTTTCAAGTTCACTACATTGTGATTCTTTTTCGATATTACATTTCTCAAGGAAAAATTAAATTAATAAGAAATAAAAATGAAAAGAATTAATTAATAAGTTGCTGAACGTATTAACAGCATTACTATACCAAGAAATTTATACTGGAAGCTAAAAGACTTCTATCTCGCATTTGTTAGCAACGATTGTCTTCATTCTGCTTGGCTAAAATTTGTAGATAAACCTTGTCTTTCATATTAATGTTCTTCATAAAAAAAGTAATCGATATACAATAAAATACTGTTGTATGTTATTTAATGGGAAAACTTCCAAAGGGATAAATGTTTCATATTCTTCTACGGATTCCTCTTAATAGTATTAAAGTTCCGATATTTATATATAAAAGACTGTACATATTCATATACATAAAATCTTTAAATTGTTTATTAAAAATAGAAAATATAAGATATGTTGAGTATCTAATGTGTATCGCTTGTTTAATGCTACATACGGATTTCAGAGTGTTGCTCTCAAGTCATGTTTGAAGATAAAATTTATTGTTATTCTTAGATTTAATCTTTAATAACCGTTGCTCCAATTTTCTATGCTGTAACTCGTAGAAGATTAATTTGCAGTGGATATGAATGCGAAAGTTACACTTGAGAGATGCATACTCTGTTGTGAACACGTAGAATTGCTGCTAAATTGTTGTCGCTTTCCCCCTTGAAAATATATTGGTTATTCATACAGTTACTAGCTAATGTTTTCTTCATAAATGATAAATGTACGAAAAAGGATAAAACAGAAAATAATTCAATTAGTATTCATAAATGATACTGATTTCTGAAGAAATAATATTTCAATGCATTTCGTAGTTCTGTGGACTATATCGTATTTCTATACGTAACTTTATAATGCATTTTCCAATCTCGATCCAAGCACTTTCTTCAAAATCATAATCCTTTCTATACTTTACAAACTACAAAATTCAATACTGTATTAAATCATTTTTTATAATCCTAAAATGTTTGTACTATATTAGTTATATAGAACACTATATCTTTATCTTCTTCCATTCTTTCCTCGTATGCACGTAGCAACTTACTATTTATCATTTATAAGAAAATGTCGGCTGGCAACTGCGTGACCATAATAATTTATTCCGAACCGAGCTCAGGTGTGAGAGTACCGCCAAAGATTTAATTTCATGTGGAATGAAGTCAACGTAGTATTATTCTCTAGCAGCTGCTTTCGTTCCTAGCGTAATTCATAATGGTCTATTCTCAAGTGAATAAAAGTGTGGGAGTTGCTCTTGAGAGTTACCCTGGAATCGTTGAACAATGGCTGCCCCTTCTGTTCTCGAGAATATAAATCATAAGAACTTATTCCAAAGTGGACACGAAGCCAACCATCGGGAACAACCCTTATGTAGATACGAATCATAAATGCGAACTGCAAAGAGGCCTCATGGCGAGTCGTTCTGAAATTTTTGCTTACCATGGACGCATTGCCGCGATACGAAAATGACCCGTTTCGCGGATATACCATCGCGTTTCATATTATTCTCATCTTTATGTGAATATGAATATCCCGAGAACACTTTAAATCCCGCCGATGGAACGTTTCCAACGATGGTAGCGCGAAACGTTTCCTCGACGGCCGACAGCTGTCACGTTCGGGACAGTGTATCACGTGACCGGAAAAAAGTTCGTGCAGTTTATCGAGATAAAATCGTGGACTCATGAAAAGGGGACCGGACGGTAGGCGAAGACTCTCGCTTTTATCGGAACGAAGCTGGACTGACACGCGAAACGATGAAAGGAAGGAATACGATTAATTATACGATCCACTCAGCGACTGAGAACATCGACTCAGAACACGTGTTTGTAACAGTGGGAAATTTATTATAAATATTATAGATATTTATCGTAGTACCCTTTTTAATTAAGTGACCCTATCTTTGGGATGAAATTACTTTTCATATAATTCTCGGGAATAGTGGTAAAGTGATAAGAGTAGAAGAAGAACATGTTCTGCCATTTTTTGATGTGGCACATATACAAAATGTCCTGTAACTAATGTTTCAATAGAAACGGATGTAAGTCTACATGAAAAAATAAGCTGAAAACACTCACTTTGTTAAGGCTACGGTGTTAAAAAACTGTATGGAAATATTTGTCGGACAAGGAGAAGGTACTTAATTTCTTAGAACACTTTCAAAACAAAACTATATTCTGGATTAAATTGAATTTTTAAAATTTCACTTAATTTGTATTACTTCTTGATGACTTTTGTCAATGAAACTTGATTTCATTATTAAAGGACGCAATAACTTGTAAAGTTAAATTTTCTTGATACCTGTTTGAACTATTATAATAGTAGTAAAAATGTTAGATGACAAATCAATTCGTTGACCTAGTCCATTTAACGTTCCTTTAACGATAGCTTTTAGGGGTTAAATTATTCAAGCACTATGAAACAAATTGCACGAACTTTTTCAGCCTGCAATATTTATAGCTTGAAATGGGCCTCTTCTGTTGTTAATAATCGTGTTACAAAAGTAGTTCTAATATGCCTTTGTAATAAGAACTATACATGAACTATACTATACACGTCGAATTCTCGTCTGTTTAATCGATTGAAAAACGTATTTAGATATGATCCACGATATTCGTATATTTTTCCATAAAAAGCGATGCGTCGACAATTTGTTTAACCAGTTAATTGTGGAATGTAATTTGAAAAATCTCTTATTGTGCGCGCAATAAAATCAAATAATAAAGTGTATACTTCTCAAACGCAGGGCAAATGAATCTATACTATATCCTAACGTAGAACTACAGCAAAATTAAGAAGAATTACACGTTCATCTGAAAAGATAAACAATTGGTCATCAAAAAAATTAGTACCATTTTGCATTTTAAAATGACGTGTATACTCGTCGCACGCAGTTAACTGGTTAAGTGTGCACCCATCCATTGAGTGAAAGCTTCTCGAGTTACTCATGGGGTTTCTTTTTCAGTTACTTCCATCGACATTGCCAAAATCGTGCGACTTGCGACCGCGCATTATTGGTAAGCCAACGGAGCAACGTTGTATAAATTGTGATTTGTTCAAGCAATAATGTATGGAGTGGCATATGCACCGAAATTGTTGTCCATTGTTCGCTTTTCTCTTTGTGCACTGCACCGATGATACACGAAAACGAAACCCTAGGTAAAACTTTGATACCTAATAATTTGTATCCATTAAAATAAAATTTCTTCCTATGAGTATACGAATCCTGTAGAAATTGCTGTGCATAAGAAACGAATGTTACTTTTCCAAATATACAACACGTAAGTTTATACAAAACATTAATATCGAAACGAAAATTTACAATCTACGAAGTAGATGCAAATAACTTCCAAAACTAATAATAACGTTACACGATAGTAGCAATAATACAAATTTTACGCAGTAATTTCTATAAAGTCTCACGAGCATCAAGTGTGGTATCCTTAGACGGATTAACATAAATATATTATATATTAAATATATAACTATTGAATGTTTGTAAGCGTCAAAGAATTCAAACGCCAAATCGAAATATTCCACTGAAATTCATACAGCACTGCGCGACGGAAAGTATACTCGTGCTTTTCGCATGCGAGAACTAAACAATTGTTTATTTACACGGGGCCAAAATGTAGACGACTGTACCTTTCATACTGCCTACGATCTATTTCTACGCTTTCACTTTTCGAGCATTTACAATGTTTAAAATGAAACAGAAACGAAAGAGAAACGAATATAAACAAAGTATTAATAAAATGTTACAATTTCCACTTTTGTACAATTCGAACAGCGCCGTTGGTCTCCTGTAACGATGCTCGGCGCGACTGCATTACATGAGTAGCTCATTGGTCAAATCGATCAACGCCACTTTACAAATTTTTTTAAGATTTTATCATTAAAGCATTTCATTGGCTCTTAATGATTTATATTTAAAATAAATTTCATTAGCACTGGGTTTGGTACCACGAAACAATAAAAAATCTTTTGGCCATGTAAACATTGCAATAATAATAAAAATTACTTCGAGGACATACTATTTTATACATTTTACATATTCGTTAGATTTAAACTATACCTGTAATAATAAGGTAAAATATATTTTATAATAATTACTTGATTTTGCATTTAACCCCTTGGTTTATGATTTATTTCTTAAGTATGGTCGATAAAAATACTTTATCGTTAACAATTTATTAGAAAACGAAAAAATGTTGATGCTTATTCTGTCTGTGTGTACTAAAGAGGTTAACGATTGATAATAGAAAAATAATATCTAATTTATATTTGACAGAAATAAATAACACTTACTTTTTTCAAATGCGATTGAAAATTTTCGTCACAAGTCTGACACGATATTATAGGTGCAAGGGTTAAAGGAAAATTTCAAAAAAGTAATATATAACTATTGTATCACTTTTTTCTAATTTTCTTTTTCTGAAGTTAATCGATTCGCCCAATGAGTGGCTCACGTTAGAAATCTTACGTAAGCTCGCCGATTGATGTAAACCTGCACGCCCAGGGGATAAGTCGCGAATCGGTGCACGTGTCCGTGCTGTGTGTTCTTGCTGTGCTCGATTACGTCGCTACGATAAACAAAATCTAGCGAAAAACCCGATCGAGATCGAATGAAACCCGGCGGAATTTTCCTTTTTCTCGACAGATCGATGTTCCGACCCGTCGTAACAGGAAACCCGACGCCGCGCACCGCCGGGAAACCTCCGCCGCGGCGCAACACCGAAACCCTAACGAATTTCATTGTCGCGCCGACATGGGGACACACAGATGAACTGGGATTATCGTTCCGCGATGATTTCACGGGAGCCGTGCGATTCGCTGCCGCAGCAGGAGCACAGGAGTGTTTAAAAGCACGCGGCCGACCTCGGAACGCGAAGTCTCGGCGATTACGCCG